TCCTTCAGTGGCTGCTTTGAGGGTGTCCTGGGATGCTTGCTGCAGCTCCAAGGCTTCAAAGGCTTTCAAGCCCTGCGCTTTCGCCTTCGCTTGCAAAGCAAGGCCACCGACAACCGTCAAGTCAACTACAGTATTGTGAAGAAGCGTGCGTTCGATTGCATTTTTGTATGCATGCCCATGTGAAGAAGTCAGAAGTACTGCGTGGCATTGAACCACCAACCTCTGCATTTTGTGGTCAGCCTTGGCAGTGTCATGAGGCGTTGCAATATATCTGAAAATTGGGCGGCTCGATGGTCTCAGCTGACCTGATCCAAATCCCAAGCGAACCGTTTTTTTGCTGCAAAGACCCCAGCAGTCCGGCCGAAACCCAGCTCTCGAGCTGCAACTGGAGTTTTTAGCCCATCAGTGTGGATAGTTCAATTGTGTTTTTCAAATGTTGAGATCACAATCAGAATGACTCCAGGGTGGACAATAAGAATGACTCCAGCGAAAACCTGTCCGAGTGGGCATGACTCTTTGCTCCATGACTCCACAAACATGCATTTCACCATGCGTTTCTGTATGTCCACATGTTTGCCGCTTTGGAAATTCCTTGGAAGAGACCATCTGTGGAAGATATCTTCACCCGATGTGATACAAATGCGGAAGACCTGTTGGCGGGAGCAAAGGATTCGTGACCAGTACTGTTTCTTTCCTGATTCTACATGTGCTTTGTTGAAGTTCTTAATGCTCGTTGTTTGGGGAACCTTGCTAAATCGGCTCTGTTCACCGGCGTTTTGGGTTGGTTCAAATCACCATATCCAAACCATGTTTTTTCACCTAGTACCCTCATGGCTAGTTGCCATTTATTTCGAACATAAAATGGGACATGTTGAGTCAGCAAGTAAACACCTGTTTTGACTCACACACACACACTGCTGGGACGACAAACCAGAAAGTAGTTTCACGTGCAAAACAGTAGAAATGAATAGAAATGACATGTTCAGTTGATGTTCTCTGGTTCGCAGCTCCGACTCCAGTTGCAGCGATCCTCATCCCCCCAAATCATTCATTGAATGATGGTTCACCAGCTGAAGAGCCTCGGATGGCCAGTCAAACATGCATCAAACAATGAAAACGACGCATGGGACCGGGCCTGGGGAGGCCAGGGCGTCTCTTACTTCGCATCTCGTGCCCGAACAGCTCCACATGGTTTTCGATCAAGCTGATGTTGATGAGTTGTACTGCAAGTATGTGTAGTCACGTTTCCCCTTTCCAATTCAACGCCAGTCAAAGGTTTATGTAAAAGAACGAAACAATTCATGCTGATTGACCATGTTTCCTTCCAAATCCCTCTCGCAGTGCTTCTGGCTTCACACCCCACATCTTTTTTTTCCGCGGCATTGAATTGTCGCCTCCGATGGGTTACTGCGCGCCGACGGCATGCCGCAGTCTTTTGCCGTGCAAACGCTCACCATAAGGTGGGCAACGCCAGCTCCTGCTCCTCTGCCAAGTGCATTCAAGAACCATGTGTGAAGTGATCCTGCTCTTCAAGTGCTGTTCTTCCGTTCTCACTTGGAGAACTTGCTTTCAAACCACTGTTACCGGACCGTGTGATGTTGATGATGTGATGTCTGACGCCGAGAGCATGAGCATGACGGAGGACGAGGAGGACGAGGAAAGAGCAGCCCTCTGGCGTTTAGGGTTGGACCATGAGTCCTTCCTACTCTAACTTCTTTACCCTGGGTTGGTCCACAAGAGGGGTGTCTCAGGTCTCTTCTGAATTCGACCCTAAAACGGCAGCTGACAAAAGAATGCATACACTTTTTCATGGTTCCCGTTCTTGCTCTCAATACCGGTTGGCCCACCCAAGTTCACCATGTGGTCCGGCTTAAGGTGGCCCCAAGTTCACGAGTGTGGACCGACCAACCTCATTCGTCCTCATCTGCTCCGTCCGACTCCGAATGGCTCCAGTGCTCCGTGTTCGGGAACGAAGGGGACGAAGACCGACCAGGGACCAAAGCTCCAGCCCAAGGGACCAGGAGACTGAGACCAATCCACTATGAGCAAGCAAACAGTTAGGGACTTGAAAACATCGTTCGATTCCTTGATTCCTGTCGTTTCTTTGTTGATTTCTGTCGTTGATTGATGCCCCAAAAGGTCCTATTTAATTTTAGGCATATCCTTGGGAAACCGTCACTTTCAAGAAAAGCACCCAAGTCTGTCGCCCCCTTTCCGGCTTCTTTCCGGCTTCGTTGCCCCACTTGACGGGACGATGTTCGGCGTGGAGGAAGTCGCCATCATTCAAGGAGGCTGGCTGGCTTCTGTCATAGTCTTTAAGGATACCCAAGCGTCTTCATACAGCAAACACACATAAATACAAAATGATTTACCAGAACAATGAGAAACACATTTCCACATGATATATATATGGTTATGGTACCAAGGGCAAAATTGCAAAACCGGATGCATCACTGGATGATATGGCAATATACAAAGGCTTCAGGAGCTGGGATGTCACAAATTCCATCCACAAACATGAGTCTGGAAATACGATGAGGATTGTCCTCAAGCTGAGCTGAGCAACTCTCATATCCAAACCCAAAGCCGACTAAGCGTAGTCCAAGTGTCATGAATCCTCCAACTTCTACGTTTCTTGATTAATACCATAGCACCGAAAAGAGATAAATTCATGCCCGGTTTGACAATTGATCGCTTGGCCTGGGGAGGCCAGCAGGAGATTGACCATCGAACTCGCACACCCGTGACAAGTTTGACCTCAGCACCCCAGATGTGCATGGGGCATGAATGATATGTCGGAAGTTGCTCCTTCAAAGACCCACGTCAGCAAGCTGTACTGTAACGTACTGTATGAAGAACATCTCATGGTGCATGCATATCAGAGACACGACTTTGGCCTCCATGATGACCCGTGCGGGCACGGTTTTTGATCTCAAGGTCTTCACCAGTCGGTCGGGCCAGTTTTCTCCACTCTGCGGCGGGAGACTCGTGAGGGCATAGACACATGTTCACAATAATGCGTCACGCCATGTTACACCTCTTTCCTCCACAAACGTCCCGCCCTGTCCGACCGCCGCGTCGTGCGACGCGCGGAAAAGAACAGTGTTGGTGAATGGACCTGCGATCTCACTGATCGCAAATGAAGGAGCCATCCTGAAACGGGCACATCTGAGCGATGGGTCGCGAAAATGCGGCTGGCCAAGTGAATGGCTTGGGGTGATAGGCGACTTGCAAAGTAAGTCGGTTCAAGGACCATATAGATACATATTTGACTTTAATAATTCTTTAACATACACATGCTTTCTAAGTTTTGTCATCCACCATGCCAAGGAAGGGTTCATCTATCAAACTTTCAAGTCTTTTACTGTTGTTTGGAGGCTATCTTCTGACCGGTACTGTTTAGGTACCTGGATCTTGAATTCACGGCCGTGCTTCATCCAGGATGGGATGCTGGCTTGAAGAACCCGCCACTCCATGGCGGAGTTGCGGCAGACTTCCTGTACCCATGTGCTGCATCCGAGCTAGTACAGCAGGTTCCCTGTTTCTAGACAGCCCTTACTTAATTGAGTTGGCACGGCACCTACTTAAATAAGTAAGGGCAGATTAAACACATCAAAAACAAGAGAAGTCTTACGGTGTTCACCTGTTCGGTCTTATTTGCTTGCGATCGGTGGGGAGTCCGCTTGGGCGAGTGGATGGCGAAACGGCTCAGCATCCTTCGATCGAAACGCTTAGCTGCCCCTTTCCGCTTCCTGCGCTTCCCGTTATCCTTCAGGTCTTGTGTTCGACTGGGCATCACAGGGTATAGATGTATCTAGTGGGCACCACAACGGGCTCTGCCTGGTCTAGGCAGGGCTCCTTCTTCCAATGAACTTGTCGGTGACATGTGTCGTTTCCTTCACTTTGTTCAGTCATTTCAGGGAAGTATACAGAATAATACAGAATCATAGCTCATCCCTACCCATTAAGCCCGGGACCTCAAAAATTGTAAGTTAAAACCAATAGGGGGGGTCCTCAGCTAAGAGGGTGGGGATGATAGATCAACATGTGACCAGTTCCCAAGTGACTTGTGTATTCCAACCTGTGGCCCGACCTGGTACACCCGACCTGATCCCCGCTTCGACCACCTGATCTGTTGGGTGAGTCTCATCCGTTTGGTGAGCAGCTGAAACCACTGAAAACCATCGACAACTCCCTGCAACGATGGATAGAGAGTTACATGCCACAACACAACAATGATCCATGACAGCCATGGCTCAAAAGAAGGTTTTCCAATTGTAAGTTTACAACGCTGCCGATTGAGCTCGAGTCAATCCACGAATCTTCCGAAGACTCTCGATTTCGAGGGTTCCCCAATTCTTCTCATCTTCTTGCGGAGTAGTTAATTAAATTGACTAAAGGCCTGGAAGCCCTGCAAGTCTCAAATTTTGAGTCGAAAGCCCAAGATCAATCTCAAACCCCGGAAGCCACTGAGGGGACACCGCCAACAAAACTCTTCCTCTACTCCCAGGTCACATCCGAGCCATGTTTTCTATTCTCTTTGCCTGATTTGTTTGACAATCTTTTCAATTCAGTAGTAAGGCACGAACATGGCCCTAAATCACAATCTAGTCCAAGGAACTGTGTTTTCTATGGCAACCGATCTCTCCCCACAAATCCTCCCTGAATCCCTGAGTAATTCATTTCTTCCGGGGAAAACAGCTTCCTGGCGATGGACATTTCCATGGCGAGCGTCAGACGTGAAGAGCCCCCAGGTGGATTCACCACAGCTTCCTGAGATCTCATGACGGAACAGTATCCTTGGTCCTTTGGTCTATTTTGTTTGAGGCAATTGGAATATCTTCACCCGAAATCCATCAGAAATCAGAATCAACCAATCATCGGCCTGTTTGTGCTACTACAAACACCATGATCGTCTGAAGACTGTTGTACAATGTTCCTCATTCATGGGAAGCTGCGCATGGAGCCAACAAAACCGTTTCTGTGATGAAGATCAGGAACTGATGTAGGCATACCCTGGTTAACGCGCTGCAAAGAGTTGTCAACATTGAAACCTATTCTAAACATACCCTTCCTGAAACAATCATGGAAGTGGAACATGGCCTCTTACAACACTGTTTCCTCTACAAACCGGTGGTTTTCCACTTCCATGATTGTTTCAGCGAGAAAAAATAGCTGCAATCATTGAAGCACCACCGCCACATCAGAACCTGGACATCCGAACTAAGCCAAGCCCAATTTTGACTGACTCATGTTCCATCTATGAAAAGGACTGTCAGAATGTCTGGAATGCACAATAAGATACAGGTTCTGATGTGGCGGTGGTGCTTCAATGATTGCAGCTTGGTCTCATGTTTTTGTTTTATCAGTTTTCAGTCTGACCCTGGCTAGCTGCTAGCTCATGCACAAGTCATCAGTCTATTGTGTTGAAAGGTTGAAATTGGGAGCCGAGGACCTGCTGCTCTTCAAAACGACCGTACCGCGAGCGTCGGGCCGCCGCTTTCATGTCAAACGCCTCACCGCCCAGGGCGAAAAAAGACTGGAAAACGTCCACTCGTTTTGGGTCCAACGAGATCGGCGATTTGGAAATCCAAAGGTCAACTCGTAGAAACGGACAAATGAGTTGCAGGGACCATCCGGTTGGTGGTTTCAATTCACTTGAGGTTCAAAGTAAAGGTTGGACATACACATATCTGAAACTGCCAACCAGCAATTTTGTGTGGAGTGTGCCCATTTTTGACACCACACAATTTGCGCAATCTACGAAACAAGGAAGACTCTTGTCAAATCCCTTCAACGAGGTTTCATCAAATGTTCAACTTGTTTGTTCATCGGTGGTGCAATGGGGCAGGATGGGATCAACAGGAATCAGGATGGGTTCAATTTGTTTTCCAAAAACTTACAGTAAAAGCGAAAAAAATAAACACATCTCAGAATGCCCCCGCAGAACCGGACCAAGGCATCCACCCAACCCTTCCCCCTTCCGCCGGTCCCACCGAGTGGCCGTCGTTGGCGGGGCCGAACTTCCAGTGGTAGACCAAGAGCTGCGAGCCCTGTCGATGGGGCCGGTGAGTTCAGCAGTAGTGATACCTTGTGACAAGCTACCAGTCTATGGATGGAATTTGTGATATCTATCAAAACAGCGAAGACCGGTGGGTTCACCCGGTGTCTGTGTTGCATGGGGCGTGAAGGCCTGGATTCACTCTTCTTGGAATCAGCCAAACCTCAAGTTGAGCACATGTGTTGATTGACATAGATACATATTATACAAGTCGTGCACAGTATATATGGTTGCCCCCGCCCCCCCAGGAACCCAGAATTCAAAGCTGTTTAATAGCATTTGCAGGGCGTTCTATCTATTGTTTCAAGGGCTGGATGTTGCTTGTCTTTGGGGGTACTACAAACATACATATCTAATGACTATTGTATAACTATGTATCATTATATATCTGCAAAGAAGAGCTGTGAAGATTCCTGCTTGCTTCAGATAGTTGTACTGGTGTTTTCTGTTGGCCTAAATGTTGTACGTTTTAACAATTGAAAATCAAGAAGAAAGAAGGCACAGGAGAGTTGGGGGACAACGTTAGTTCTTGGTTCCCAACTGTGTTATAGCTCACTATAAAACATGTTGAAAAAATGACATAGTAAAAGCTCCAAGTAGCTGATCGTATAAGCACAATCCCTCGCCGCCCTAACCGAGTTTCAATTTCACATACTTTAACGTTCGCAGATGGAAACAATGCCTCAGTACTCACTACAATTGTCATGTGTTTCTGATGCAAATCGCCTCCTTGAGAAAATACACCCTTTTATAAGAAGTAACAGAGATTGGAGTACCGTACACTTAGTGTTTATTCATTTTGCGTCGTTTCATTGAGATGTGATTTGTAAAACCAAGGGACTACAAACATATATAAAAATGTAGTCCTTTCTTCACACCTCCTCCTCACAAAAAAATATGCTGTATGCAATAACATACGTTTCTTGAAACATAAGCCTTTCTGAGTCTCCACTACAAGTGCTTCTTTCCATGAGCAACCGCCTGTTTTATTCAATCTGTTTCTGGGATAATATATAATTCATCTTCTGCACTTGGTTGTTCTCCCTGTACCTTGCATAGAAAGCACCTCCACAATTGCAAATGCCTTTTATGGAGCAGTATTCAACCCCATTAATGTACAGGTCTGTATTAAAAACAGTAAAGACAAATCCATGTCAAAGGAACTTAATAAAATCCTGTTCTTATTACTTATTTCAATTAGCTCCTCTGAAACGACTTGAGTATCCAAGTGCTAGTTTTACTCTGGATGTTAGATAGTTTCTCATATTTTTTTAAAGTTTTTGGCTGATATTCATATATGTAGCTCATTATTCCACTTTCTCAACTTGTTTTCCAGGTCTCAATAGGCTTGTCTCTTGCTCAACTAGTTCTTGTTGTTCATGTTTATTGTTTTTGTTCTTTACTTGCAAACATGTTCGACATCCCTATTGAGAACCAAACAAACATCAAAAGGGATTAAACCAAACGTTACAAAACAAAGCAAAAGAGTTTGGTCTCTACCCGTGCCTAGCAAACATAAAAAACTAATAGGTTCTAGCAATATTTACTCATCTCCGTGCATAGTTCCTTTTCCTCTCTTGCTTAGTTTTGGTATTCAGCTCGCTTCCCTGTTGGTTGTGACCTGTCGTTTGGCTGTAAACCATCAGGAACCATATGTAATTCTCTGGTTTCACCATGTGTCAACCACCTGGCAAAAAAAAGTATCTAATTATCTGATGTTATCTGCCCATATCTGCCCAACCATCTGCAAACATCTAAAATACCCAGGCGAACGAAGGCTGGATGAGCATCGGGGACTGCTTGGACACACACGTAGAGCGCATATATGTTCATCGTTGATCCTGTCACACCCATGTTGAAGTATCAATCATGCGAGGTTTCTCCAGTATTGAAGGTGTATTGCACATTCCCTCACCTTCTCAAAGCTGCAAGAAACAGTGGGTCTCTGCAGTGAAAATACCTACAAGTAGGATCCCGGACCTTGCTGGACCCTCTCCCCAGTCCTCAGCCAACTTCTGCACTTCCTCCACGGTGTTTTGCCAATACCTCTGGCACAGCTTCTGTCCAAAAGACCGAAGGTCTGGACCAAAAGGACAAATGGAGCCGTGGCAAAGCTGCAGCCTTCAACCACCTTTTCGGAGGTCCTTCACCGACGTCAGAAAGTATGGAGTGTGGACATTCTGAAACCAGGCTTGCCACACCTGCCCATCCCCTGAACATGCCGCCTCCAGCCTTTCTTTCCCCTCAGCCCTCCAGCCTGATCAAATCGATTCCCACACCCAACCTCCCCGGCCGGGCGCGCCCTGTGAGCATGGGATCCCACCAACGCGGCTTTCGCACCTACCGCCCGGGCGTGGTACCGCACCTGCACATGTTCTGCAAACTGGCGGGTCGATGGAGGCTGTTCAGGGGGCAAGCCTGAGGCCATCCGGTCTCAGAGACGATGAAGCCATCGATCGTGAGCTGAGAGGCAAAGGCCATCAAACGCTCCACCTGAGGAATTCATTAGAGAGCTGCCACTAATCTGAAAATCCATGTCCCTTCTTGTTGCTGTTAGTCTAGTCTAGCTGTTACTTTCCTTTAGGGGGGTGATTGGGAGACATTCCTGATATCGTCTGATAGATACCACCAAGGCGACAAATGCTGATCTGGGCTGGTGGAAAATTATTCTTTTGTTGGTAATCTTTCAAAAACTTTAGGTGCTAGACCAAACGGTCCAGCAAACAACATGTTCTAGACCATGTTCCGTCGTAATGAATCTGTTCTATATTTTCCCTGGCCCAGTTCCCTGTGGGGTGCCGAGTTCCACTTCAGCTTGGTGGCTGCGCTGCTGTCGAAGGGTGCGAAGATCTGTGTGCTGCTCGCCCTGCAAAGGGTTGAAAGCCAGATTCAAAATAATTCTGTGCAGAAGTGGATAGTAACCGTAAATATGGGCTTTCTTTCCCGCAGGTTGGCTCAAATGCTGCGATCATCTGCAGTCACCTTCATGCAGTTTGAAGGGGCGGACTGGCGGCCCTGTGTACTCACACAGCTCAACGCTTTGGTTGCTCATGTTGCTCTAAGATGAGTCGGTTGGGGTTGAGGAAGCCCGTGCTTGCACACCTGGAGCCTTTCCGAATGCAGGCATGCATGCCTGCTACTGGGCTCCAAGTTGAGGATCCAGCTGGGTCGATGCTTCCCATATTTTTGGCAAACACTCTCGAAGGATTTGGCTTTGTTTCGAGGCATTGCTTCGGGGGGATTATATGTATATGTATAGAGAGAGAGGGAGGGGGGTTGGTTTGAAGGTGGATTATGGTGTTGTGACGTTGGCTCATGTCTAACATCGTTCATCGAATATCTGCTTGTTTTGCTTTTCCATAGGCTCGCTCAATTTGAACGAGGCATGCAAACATTTTGGGGCAGCTCTGCCTGTCTGTGCGTCTGTGCTGTGTCTACAGCGGCTGTCAGCGACATCGGCGGCCGGTCACGTGGACAGCACCCCGAGCTGGGACCTTTCGATCGTCGGAAACATCCGACGGATGCGATGGAAGGATGCGATTCACAGCACGCAACCGTCTTCTCCCATTCACTGGACAGCGGCTACGCACTCGGTGAAAAAAACACATGGCCTTATCCCCAATAGTCGCAAGGCCTTCAACCTACTAGCAATGGCCTCCAACCTACTGTAATAGCGATGGCCTCCAAGCTACCAGCCATGGCCTTCCCCCAACAGTCGGCAAGGCCAAGGATCCAAAATGGGTAGAGCGTCCCTTCGACATAGAACTTCCGGCCTCTCGAGTCAGTCGTACTCGTCTGAGTGTTCAGTGTCCCGACATGCACTGCAGAGAGGAAAGAACAAAAACCATGTCTGAGACAAATGTAACAAGCTGTTTCCAAGGTATCAACAAATACTGAAACCCCAGGTTCCAGACTATACATGAAGCAACACAACAAACGTAGGAAAAAAAAACGGTGGGGAACTCAGCCGTCTCAGGCACTCAACTCTTCAGGGCGGTTTTGGGACCCCCTCCCTTCTAATTGACAGGTACTCAAAGCGGCGCGTAAAGAATTCTCAAGGGAAGCAAAGTGCTCAAGATGAGCAATGTGTTGTGAGGATCTTTGAGGTACAAAGTGGGAAAATGTCCATTTGGCTGCCAAAGTGCTGCAAGAAATGAGCACAAGTTTGAGGATCTAGGTTCTGACCCACACCCACCAGCGGTGGCATGCTATAGTCGGCATCCGCTGCCTTCTGCTCTTAGGGGCTGAATATACCTGAGTCGCGTTGCCAAACCGGGTTGATCTCGGGAAACAATATCGCCAAGGTTAGGCCGCCATGTTGCATGAAAATGATCCACACATGGTAACAAATACATTTGTTCCTTGCATGCGGTCATTCGTCGTCTGCACCGTCACAATTTTGTGCCTCAAGATCAAGCGGTTCAAGTCCAGATGGTTTTGGTGAAAGCAATGCCGACTGAGATGGATCAGCAGGTTGCCCCGAATGCCTGGATGTTTTTACGTAAACACTTGATCATCATGCTCATCGAAGTCGAATGATGTTGTTTGTTTCAGATCATGGGTCATGTCTATACTCTATACCTAGTCACGCCTCGTTCAACGTCTTTGCCACCATCCCCGCAACCCGCCACCCGTCTCAAAAACGGCCATTTCTCCAGCTGAGTGGCTCCCACAAGAGCGGTTCCAGCATGGCAAGGGGTGAGGCACCTACAAACGCGACCGGTCCCCCGGTGGACCGAGGGGACCGATGGGACGGCGAACGCGCGACAGCGCGTTCGAGCCGGAGTGTCGTATTTGGATGGCGGTAATGAATTTGCGTTAAAGAAAGAGTCTCTTTAAATGATATCAATATATATATATATACCCTGGGAGTCAAAGACTATAAAAAGAATGGTCTTTAGGGGACCTGAAAGGGAACTTCCTTTACTTCAGCCGGTCAAAATATAGTCGAACTGGACTTCTAGGGTATATACACATACATACATCTCTGTTTCCTGTGGCCATGGTCTTGGGATGCAGGGCAACCGTCCTGCGGCAAGGCTCACATGATGTGCGCAGTCGCTGGCCCTTCCCTTGTGCCCTGGCCTACACAAGAGCCGGGACAACGCATCTTGACTGTGCGTTCCCACAGTCACACTTGAGTGAGCACTTGGCCCCAACTCTCAGGGTTCTTTAGGTGGAGCTCAAACACTTCCCAGGATTCCAAGGGTTTAGCCTAAGGTTTGTGACTGATGGTCTCCGGCACAGGATTTCAGGCAACAGCCAGTCAAGCATCTGTGCTGCAGTGCGGGTTGCAGGAGGGGGTGAGGGAGGGCATGGGCCGTGTTTCTGCTTTTCTTTTTTCTCTATGGTCTATGGCTCTGAAAATATGTATTTTACTTGTGGCACAGAAAAAATACGTCCCTTCCATGAAGTTACGACTGAAAGTTATCTCAAAATGAGCACAGGTCTGTATTTTGTAGGCCAGGGAGCTTGGGCCAGGGTGCTTACTGTATATGGGGACCATGTTCCTTGAATCCATCAAGAGCCAATTCCCAAAGTCGCGTTTGGATCTCCACTGTCTATCTATACGGGCCATAGTTGATGCATGTCGATATTTGATATGGCATACAACAGTGTCCAGCTTACCATGATACACTTATGTATGAATCCAAAATAACTGGAAATGAATATTAGGATATATTGGGCACTTTGCCGTCTGCCGTCTGATCTGGCCAGTCCGCTGCCGCCCCTTCACCCGCAGCAAACCCACCTTCGTTTTGGAAGGAGATCACGAACTCCACATGTTTCGGAAACGCTCGATGGGCTTCTTGGATCAAGGAACCATACCTGGACTCAATCGGTCAACGACGTTCACACATGGGGAATGCTTTGGCTGAGGCATAAGGAGTTCACACATGGATAAAGGATTTGGCAAGGGCAGGTGAGGAAAACATGTTCCTCTTCTGATGATTCTAGCAGTTTCTTTGCCGGCTAAACGGACCTGCATATATGATCATGCTTATTGTGTATCTATGCATACTGATATATGAAAACAACGCGTCTAGGTTGGAGGCCATCGCTTCTAGGTTGGGGGGCAAAGTGGCCTTAAAAGAAACAACAACAACAACAACAACAACAACAACAACAACAACAACAACAA